AAAAAAACAAAACATGCATACAAAAGAGTTAGGAACACATATTTAGAGTGAGAGGATGCCCAAGGTCATTTAATACAAACCCCACACTTTACAATTGAAGAAACTAAGGTCAAGCCTTGAGATGAAATTACCCAAGGTCTCACAGTTAATAATGAGTCTAGAATTGGAATTTCAATTCAGGTCCTCGAATTCCAAATCTACTGATCATTCCACCACATGATTTTGGCTTTAGAAGTAACAGGAAGTCAGCGTGTGGGTTTGTATAATGAAAAATTTCCTAATATGAGAGTTGTCTAAAAATGGAATTTTGTTGTTATTCAGTCATTTTTTCAGTTGTGTCCGACTCTTCGTGAACCCAATTTGGGGTTTTCTTGGCAAAGACACTAGACTGTTTCCCATTTCCTTCTCCAGCACATTTTACAGATGAGGAACCTGAGGCAAACAAGGTTAAGTTACTTGTCCATGGTCACACAGCTAGTAAGTATATGAGACTCCTAGTTGTGCCACCTAGTTGCCCACGAAAATGAAATGGAATGCTTTAAAGAGTTCCCTCTAAAGTTCAAGCAAAAAGGCCACATGACTACTTGTGGGAGACTATAAAAAAAGATATAAAGAGCTGTATAAAGTTCTGGGTAATAAAGAACTTCAAGGCACAGGTGGTGTTTTTACTGCTGCTGCCAACAAATGCTGTTGAGTCAAATGATTTAGAAGTAAAAGGAAGATGTGAAAAGTGAACAGATCACTAACAAAATGGTGTCAGACAACAGGATTTGGATTTCTAGACAGAGCTGTACACAAAGCAGATTCTGATTCAATGTAAAGAAAATCTTCCTAATAATTAGAATTCTACAAAAGTCACATCTGCTGCCTCAGGAGGTAGCAAGTTCTTAATCATCAAAGATCTTCAAGCTGTTACTTAATAACCATTTTCCTGGGATATTTTGTAAGGTATTCCTACTTACAGAAGGACTGGACTAGATAAGCTCTTTGGAGAGTTTTTAAAATAATCAATATTTTTCAAAAATTTTACATGTCCCTACTTATACACTCAACTTCTATCACTTTTTCTAGAAGTCACCTTCTTAAACACTCTACAACTAGACAATCTAACCAAATCAAATTAGGAACTCCATGAGAAAATCTTGGTTATGTGTCTCCTTTGCTTTTCTACCTCCTGCTTTCACTCCTCCAACTTTTGAGTAAATATCTACATTTCATTCATCCTGACAATTAAAAAACTGAAGGAAAACCAATCTTCCATAAGACATCCCTCACACTAAATCACTTAATTTCTCTATTTCCTACTCACACTGAAGCTATATGAGAGAAAATATATATAGAACTACATTCCACTCATTTGTATATATTCTACACCCTCAAAGTACAAGCAGTCCTTAACTTAATACTGCCACAGCCTTGTCATCTTGGAACATCACTACACCGGGTCAGCCCCCTTCTTCCACAGGTGAGTTCTTCTAGGAACTCCATTTTAGGAGAAGCCTGGGACAATTAACCTTTATTCTCCTTCCCAGTCCTGCATCTAATTTTCTGGACTTCAATACTATGCTTCCTCAGACAACTTCAATCTACCCTTCCTCCCTTCCCTCTCAACTGCTTTTCTGTTCCCTTTCATGTATGGTCTTTCCTATTAGAATACAAGCTCCTTGAGGGCAGGGGCTGTTTTTCTCTTTGCTCGTATTTTTTATCCTCAGCCCTAGCACAAAGTCTGACATACAGTAAAAACTTAATAAATGCTTGTAGCCTGTCTGCCTGTAATATATGATTTACTGCTCAACCAGTTACTCCCATATTATCAACTCGAAGAAGAGGACATCTGGTATCTTTCCCAGTGAGAATGAGCTTGGCTACAAACACTCAGCCTGGCAGCAGAGATAATTTTCTCCACTCCCCTTCCTCAATCCCGAACTCTCATTTCCCTAAGGTTAGCCAGCACCAAGAAATAGCTGAAAGCAGCCAGAACGAATAGAAGGGATCTAAACTAAATCGACAGAAAATGAGAAAACGCTACCTGAACGATGAGGCCATAAAATATTGAGCATGTTTTTGGGTTTTGTTTTTTGTTTTTCTGTTTTGCTTTTTTTGGGGGGGGGGATGTTTTTTCTGTATAGTTTGTTGTTGTTGTTGTTTGCTTGTTTTTGCATACCTGGTAAACTGTCTCTGAAGGCATATCAGAATTTTTTTTTAAAGAGTTCCAAAAATTAGGGACCAGAAAACAGCATCATTTGAACAATGCTTATAGCTCTAAGAGAGCCACTGAAGAAAGGTGTTGATTTCAAAAGGTTTTGTTAAAGTAAATGGTCATACAATAAGAAATAATTAATGAGAAATTAAGAAAAACATGTAAAGGTTTGCATGAATGTACACAAAGTCAAAAAGAATCAAAGACAATATGCACTATGACTATAAGAATGTAAACAAAACTAATCAAAAGCAGAAGAATGCTCTGCCACTGGTCCTAGAGAAGAGATGAAGAAATGTGTTTGCCTTCTTTCATTAGTGAAGTGGGAAGAGGGCTATGGATAAAGACTCTTGTTTACACAGCCAATGTCTTGCTTGCTTTGGCTTAACAGTCTTTTTTTTGTTACATGGGAAGGTTCTCTGGGCGATGGATATTATTCTAATCTGGACATTATAAAAGTAAAAGGCATCAATAAAATTTTTAAAATTAAATGGGCAGTCTCATTATTTTACAGTTATATAAGTATCGAACAATACTTAAAAACGTTTTTCAGCAGGCCAATAAAAAGCAAAAGGCTGTACTCTGCTATGTACATTTCACTATTCTAACGCAAACTGCAAGACTGATAACTGATATGGAGAGTCTTAATTCTGTGCAATTGGGGTTCAAACTTACTGTTCAGTGTGTCTTTAGTTTGGCCACCATTCAAGGGTTTTCAAGTGGGCATTTAAAAAAAAAAAACTTTGAAGCAACTATATAGGAAAGAACTAAAGAATGAAAAATTCAGTTCAAATAGCATCAGTACATGCATTTTAGAGGCAAAAAGAATAAAATCAGGAAACAGGGTAAAGCTGCTAGTGCTGATAAAACAGGAATTTAAGGTTTTAATGTCAACACCTTGATCACTAATACTTTCCTGAATTTAATAAGCATCAAACATTTCAATACAAAAAGGTTTATATGAGAAATTGTGAACTTCTATTATATATTTTGTTTTCAAAGTATAAATGGATAATTTAACAAAGTAAGGAAATTATCAATAAATCCAAGACAGCAGGCAGTAAATCATATATCAGTGAAAAATCAGTTTTTCAAGAAACCATCAAGCCATTCTAAATCTCTCCGAATTATCCTCAATGATACTTATGAAAGCTTCTTCCTAAAAACCTATTAGAATTCCACAACCTTCATGAAAGGAGATTATTACATATAATTTGCTACAGCATGTATCATAGTAAGCACAATTGTATATGATACTATTTTATCTCCATTAATTAAAATACATATACTTTGGAAAGTTTTATATCACAGAGGAATTTGCAACTTGTAATCAATTACGTGCTTAGATTCCTTTCTACAAAAAGCCAAGCATCGGACCCTAAGTCAAACCTAAGTGATGAGACCTACCTCAGAAACACAAAATTTCCATTATACTAGCGTTCCTAAAGGAAATCAGCTTCAATTAACTTCTTTCAGGAATGTAATCTATCATAAGCATGAAGTGTGACCAAAATAAGGAATATCAACTGCTCTCAAATGCAGAAAGCAGTAGAATACAAAGGACAACCATAAATGTCAAATGCCAAGGGACACATGTTAACCCAAGAGTGAGTGTGAGCAAATCATTTGACTTTTCAAATAATGCAACATTTTTCTGCTTCTCACCTCTCAAAATGGTTTTACAGGATGAAGACAAAATATTTTCAGAAATATTTATTTTAAAATTATTAAGTAGTGGACTTTAAAGCAAATCTAAACCAAAAAGGTTTTGCTATAAATTTGTATGATTTCAGACCAAACCACCTGGATCATTAAAAGTACTTATTTTAGGATTGATTTTGTTACATATAGAGCCTTTCTAAGCCCTTACTTAGTAAAGAAATAGCATGCTAGAAGAATATATCTACTGAAAAGTGACCTAAAGTTTCACATAATTCTCAATGAAATATACAATCTATAATTTATTAATTTCAGAATTCCAATAAAACTGCACTAATAATAAAAGAACACCTTCATTTCTCAAAAAAGTTCTGCTATGAGAAGAATATTCAAGAATAAACCTACACAAAGAGGTACATTTGCCAGAAGTACAAGATTTACATGAATACTTTTAATAAACCTTTACAAGAAGTGCCCTCTTTCCAAGTTACTGGCTGAGTGCCCAATAGCAAAGGTCTCATTAAAAGTAAAATTCATGGTATTAAAAAAAAAAAGGATTACATTATTACAATGTAATGATTTTAATTAGGAGATGGTATAGCACGAATTACATTAAAAGGCCCTAGGACCATGAAGCTTGGAGCGCGATCAATTAACTTAATGTTATGACCATGATTTTAGGTACTTTTGAGACACTAGTTGAAAACCAGTAAATGTATAGAGATTAAAGTTGTCAATCTTCTACAGCTCCCAAAGTTATGAAAAATAAAATTATTCCTCACTCTCCACTGTGACGGATTTATTAATTTTCATAGGTTCCCAAAGTGGGAGATACTGCCCCCTGTGGGGCACTGGAACAATCCACAGGAGTGGTAGGAGCCTCGGGTGACGCAAATTTTAAAAAAATTAACTAAAGGGTTAAAGAAAGAAGATTTCCAGGAAGGCACTAAATTAAAAAAAAAATTTTTTAAAGGGAACAGTAGGCCAAATAAGTTTGGGAACATCTGATTTAAATACTTACTTTTCCAAAGGTTCTGAAATGAAGTCAGTTAACATGCAATTATTTATGAAATGCCTACAAAGTACCTAGAACACAGAAGTGAAAAAGAACATAGTAACCACTTTTTAGAAAGAAACTTACCTGTACTGTGGACTCTTTAAGGTCTAATCCAAATACATTATGTCGTTTGACTCTAAAGAAGTCAACATCAAGACCATCTTCATCCTCTTCCTCTCCACCTAAACTCTGTACAGAAATCACTTTGTCTTTTGAAGTCTCATTAATACCTGGAAGAGCTTGTATTTCAAATGCCTTGACTTTTTCTACTTTCTCCTCTCTACCCTCATCTTCCTCCACTTCTTTCTCTTCATCTTCATTCTTTTCTTTACCAACAACACTGGCTAGTTTCTCTTTGTCTTTCTCTCCCGTTCTCATCTCTCCTTTCTGGAGGATGGACATTTTCTCATTGAAATATGCTCTAAATTCCTCTACTTCATCACTGGTGAGGGAAGAAGCAACAGGTCCCTTTCCATCTTTGCTTTCTTCATCTGTTCTGCTTATCAATGATTCTTTCGTCATCTGTTTCTGTATTCTCTGAAGAAATCTCACCCGTGGTGCCACAGCAAGGCCAAGGGAACTGAATTAAAAAAATAAAATAAAAAAATCATTAACAATATTTAAGTGTTGAAATATTTTTATGATGTACTCAGAGAAATTTATACAGAAGTAATTAACAAAGAAGAGCAATTAAATTTGTTAAACTTACTCTGAAAGAAAAACAATCCTATAACTATAGCTAATAATGATGGCAATATTAGAGATGGTCCAAAATAAAGACTTAACTGATCACCTCTATGTCAACATCCACTCTTACATTTATCAATAGGCTGATAAATGAGCAAAAAAGTTTCTTGATAAGGAAAACACAAAGAAATGAAAAAAATGCGAAGTAAAAATTGAGTGAGTCAAGTCATGCTTTGTTGATAAGGTTCAATTGAATGATAAATTCTATTCAACAAATCTGTACTGTAACCAAAGTTACTAATGATCTCTGAGTTAACAAATCTAATGGCCTTTTCTCAATCCTCACTCTTCTTTGACCTTTCGTGGCCTCTGACACTACTGCTCACTCTCTCCTCCTTGATACTCTCTTCTCTCTAGGTTTCCAGGACACCATTTTCTCCTGCTCTGTGCAGAGCAGAAATACTTCTGATTCTGATACAGGGCTTAAAGAGAAGGATATAATACAAAGAAGGTTAAAATGAACAAACAAAGACCAGGACTTTACACCAAATTCAACAATACATTCTATATGGATTTGTGACCTAAATATTAAAATCAAACTATAAAAAAATTGGAAGACAGATAATATACCTCGTACAACTATGGATAGGAGATGCATCCTTAAACAAGGAACAGAGGCAATTACAAAAGATAAACTAGGTGAATTTGATTACACAAAACTCAAAAGCTTCTGTATAGACAAAATTAAGGTACCAAGGTTAAAAAAGGAAAAGGTCAAATGAAAAAAATTTTCTTAACAAATTTTGCTGTTAAGAATCTGGTATTATATACATGCGAGTGTGTATAGACACACACACACACACATATATACATATATGTATATATACACACCTATACACACAAACACACACCCCCCTACATACCAATGGCCATTCTCCCATATATCAGTGATCAAAGGAAACAAATCATTCTCAAAAGAATTGCGAAGATGGACAACCACATGAAAGAATGCTCCAAATCACTAATAATAAGACCAATGAAAATCAAAACAACCCTGCAACCTAGAAATTGGCAAAGATGACAAAATATTAGAATAATAAATACTGGATGGGTTGTGGGAAGATGGGAACATCGGTACATCATGGGTGAATCTAAGGATCAGTACAACCATTTTAGAAAGCAATTTGGAATTCTGCAAATAAAGTGATAAAATGTCTCTATCTTTTGAACCTGAGATTCCATTAATGGGCTTACACCATTGGATAAAAAGAAAAAGTCCCCATTTGTAACAACAGCAGCAATTTTTTTAATAGCAAAGAATTGGAAACAATGAAGACGTCAATTGATTACAAAATAGCTAAACTAGTTGTTGTACATTATTGCAATGGAATATTACTATACTGTAAGAAATGATAAATGGGATGAAACATAGAGAAGCACAGAAAAATCTACCTGAACTGATGCAAAGTGAAATAAGCAGAGCCAAGAAAACAAAATATATAATGACTACAACAATGTCAATGAAAGAGAACAACCACTTATATACACAGATGCAAAATGAAAAATAAATTACTAAAAATTAAGCATAAAATAAGCCCAGAGAAGCTCTAAATAACTGCCCATAGAGTTTTCCGACATGTCACGATCATGACCTACATGGACTTCAATCATGGCACTCATTTTGACTGCTGGGGTCTTTTCTGTCTGCCTCAGGGTTCTGAACTATGTTCAGAAAAATCAGAATGTTAGAGAAGTGACACGTAAATTAGCAAGGTATTAACTAGTACACCATTTTTATTACATTTTTGTAAAAGGATGCAAACCCTGTTTGGGAACTCAAATAATGAGAGGACAAACTGATTTACACATTAAAGGAAGGCCCAATTTGAAAAACCAGATCTTCTCTCTCTAGTCTAAGAAATGAAAGTCTTAGCTTTGTTAGTTATAAATAATCGAAATTCTATCAAAAATCTGTCTCTCTACCCACCTAAGTTTTTTTTTTCCTTTAATGCAAATCCCTATCAGCACCTGTTTTGTCCTGATAACTTTTAAGGATAGGCAGAAATGAGCCATCTGCAAAACAGCAACCATTTCCCTGTAAGCTTAAGTGACTAAACATTGTGTTTTAAATAAATGTCTCCAAAACTGCATGTTTAATTCAATGTTATGTTAAAGAAAAAAAACACTGAAATATAAGAATCATCAACTTTTAGATGGTGAAGCATAGCAAATTCCACCTTATACAAAGCCAAGTAAAAATGAAGCTCATTTCATACCCTGGACCATGGACTTATATCACTTTGTACAAGTTATTTATTTACAATCATAGTAATCAGTCTAATTTTATTGAATGGCTCTGGGAGGACACTGCAAAGAATTTCTGGGAGCAGATAGTTCCATACCCTGCCTAATACTAGAACATTACAATACATTTGTTCAGTGTTAATATGTGGCTTGTTTTGTAATGTATCTCACTGTCAAAGTTGGTGGGGGCAACATTATGCAAGTAATAACTATATTTGGACCCTATCTGTAGGTTCACTTTGTATAATCCAAATAAACTGCCACACATGCATCTAAAAAAGAGAAAGTACCAGGGAGTATGACACAGTAAAAAGTCAGGACACCTGGGCTCAAACCCCACCTCAGACACCCACTAATGATTACATGGGATCATGGTCAAGTAATTTAACCTATGAAAACTGGTTTCTTCACCTGTAAAACAGGTATTTATACTATCTACCTCAAAAGCTTGTTGTGATGAATGACCTTTAAAAATATTAAAGTTCTGATGAAAAAGTACAGCAGGGTACTATGAACAGCGAGTCAACCTTGAAGCCAGGAAGATAAAGATTCCAAGTCCAATCTCTGACTGCCTATATGACCATGGGCAAGTCAACTCACTTCTCAGTGTTCTAAACTAAAGCTGTGAATTGCAAAAAAGGAACTGGGCTACATCAGTAGAAGGAATTTCATCATTGGTAGGAGTTTCCTCACCAGGAAGTTCTCTATATCAATGAAATCACACATCTAGCCTATTCTTTCTGAAACGGATTCTATGGAAGGCAGGAATTCTGTTTTAACTTTTTTAATGACACTACCTCCCTATTTAAATGCTGCATGGCATAATACTCTTAAGTTCTGAAGAGCTAGGTTCTCTGGTCCTTATACCAGTATAATATAGCAATGTCTATACTGATAATTATTAAAAAGCAATTTGGTAGAAGGGATTTATGTTTCAGGTAATGTGTACACTAGATAACTACTGATATCACTCTAGGATTCTATGAATGTGGAAAAACAAATAAATCAGTACACACAACCAAGATGTTTAAATGGAAAGTGTGAAGGTATTAAAGACAAACGTGATTTTTTTTTTAAAACACCTACTGTCTTAATAAAAACAGTTCTCTCCAAAGTTACTAATGATCTCTGAGTTAACAAATCTAATGGCCTTTTCTCAATCCTCATTCTTCTTTGACCTTTCGTGGCCTCTGACACTACTGCTCACTCTCTCCTCCTTGATACTCTCTTCTCTCTAGGTTTCCAGGACACCATTTTCTCCTGGTTTTCTACTTAGCTATCTTCTCGGCCTCCATTCCTAAATTCTCATCCCGATCACAACCTCAAACCATAGAGGTTCATTATACAGGGTTTTGTCCTGGGCCTTCTTCTCTACTACTTTACTTGGTGATCTCATCAGCTCCCATGGATTTAATTACCACCTCTATGCTGATGATTCTCCAATCTACCTCTTCTGTACTAACCTCTGCTGAGCTCCATTTTCACATCTCCAAAAGCCTTTCAGATATCTCACAATTTATGTCCAGTAGTTTTCTGAAACTCACCATGTCCAAAACAAAATCATTATCTTTCCTCCTAAACCCTCTCTCCCTCCCACCTTCACTATTACTATAGAGGGCAATACCATCCTCCTGGTCCCTCAGGCCCACAACCCAGAAGTCACCCTGGATTCCTCGCTGTCTCTCACCCGCTACGTTTAATCTATTGAAAAGATCTGCCAATTTCACCTTTGCAATATGTCTGGAAAACTCCCTCTTTTCTCCTTTGACACTGCCACTACTCTGGTGCAGGCCTTCATCACCTCAAACCTGGACTATGACAACAGCCCACAGGTGAGTCTGTCTGCCTCAAGTCTCATTCAACTCCAATCCACCCTCCATTCAGTCAATAAAGTGATTTTCCTAAAACACAGGTTGAACATATCAAATGCACTCCCCTGACTCAAACTCTAACGGCTCCCTGTTGCCTCCTGGAGCAAATGCAAAATGCCCAATTTGGCATTCAAAGTCCTTCATAACCTAACCCCCTCCTACCAGTGTTCTAATACCTTATTCCTGGACACATTCTCTTAGTTCCAGTAATGCTGGTTTCCTTGTTTTTCCACAAACAAGACACTCCATCTCCCAGCTCCAGGAATTCTCTCAGGCTGTCCCCCAACTGGCATACTCTCCCTCCTCCACTTCAACTATTGACTTCTCTGGCTTCCTTTAAATCTCAACTAAAATCCCATCTTCTACTGGAAGCCTTCCCCAACCCCACTTAATTCTAGTACCTTCCTTCTAGTAATTATTTCTTATTTATGCTAAATATATAGCCTGCTGTGTATATATTTGTTTGCATGTGATCTTCCTCATTAGAATGAAAGCTTTTTGAGGTCAGAGACCATCTTTTGCCTCTTTTTGCATTCCCCAGTATTTAGCACAGTGTGAGGCACATAGTAGGCTTAATAAATGTTTGCTGATTGATAGTAAGATGTTTGATAACTAAATTCAGAGATGAGTAAGCATTTTCTGTTTTCTATTCATTAATAAGAGGGTCCAAAATCTACCCAATTCCCATACCCAATCAATTTTAAATATGTTGATATGC